AGGGCCACGCCTTGCGCGTCGGTCTCGGTCTCGCCATCGCCCCGGCCGCCCCCGAACTCGTCGTCGTCCGCTGGCTCGTCGACGACGTTGGCGGAGCGGGCCTCCCCGCGTGCAAAGGACCTCTGTCGGCCGCCACCTTGGCTGCGCGACTGATTGCGCCGCAGCCGCGACGGCGGCGGCTGGCGCTCGGGCGCGTGGATTCGCGGGGACATTCGCACCAACAGCCCGCGGATGCGCCAGAAACCGTCGCGCTCGTCGGGCCGGTACCCGACCGCTCGCTCACGTCGCTCTGCCGCGAGACCAGCCTTCTGGAATAGGACCCCCCGACCACGTCGTCGAGCACGTCCAGGCCCGCCCCATTCTCGCGCGGCTGCTGAAGACCAGCCTCGAAGCGGACGAGCCAATCGGTCATCCTCTCGCTGCGTCGACGATGGCGTTGAAACGGATTGACTAACCTCTGGAAGCTCTCGCCTTTCTGGGCTGGCCTCTGCTGGCCCGAGCTCTGGTCGAGGCGCACGGGCACGCTCTCGATCCCCGCCTGATTGCGAACTCTCTTCCGCTCGCCCGCGCCCTCGATGTCGTCGCGAGGCGGGGGATGCAACCCCCCTGTCATGTTGAGCATTGCGGGCCTCGCTGTGCCGGTGGGCTTCAGCGCGAGCTTGGATGCTAGACTCTGCGGTGCCTCCGAATTCCCGCTGGACTTCCACAATTTCGCATCCTGTCGGCATTCCCCCCGCTTGGACGGGTCGCCGTTTCGAATCGGGATGATGGACTGGTTGTAGTGCTGGCTGCGGTTATCCGTCATGATGTCGGCGTAGATGCCCAGGTGTGTCGTGAGGGTTGAAAAAGTAGACCTGAGGGCGTTGCTGCATTTCAGGAAGGTGGGGAGGTCGAACTTGGCGGCTTCGCTGACGCACAGGGAATATATGAGATTGCGATTTCGCTGAAGTTCCGGAAATCGGGGAGATCGAACTCGGCGGCTTCGCTGGAGTTCTGAAAAGACATGAAATTGAACCCGGCGGTTTCGCAGAAGATCAGAGCTCGAACGCTTCGCTGATGCCCAGGGGTCTGTGGATGTGAAGGCATCGAACTGGGCGTCGCAGGCGTCCAATGAGTAGGCGTAGGAGTGGGCGTCACTGACGTCCTCGGAGTAGGCGTAGGGTTCGTCACTGGCGACGGTGAAAAGAATGCCGCGGCTAGCAGCCCGACGCCGCTGGGCGTCGACCCCGTCCTTGACAAAGGCGCGGCCGTCGTCTTGAATGTGGAATGCGTCGTCCGCTGGACGACGGGCAACAACAGCGCGATGGCCAAGGCTCGCGCGCTCCCAACGACCGCCTTGATACGGATGGCACACGGCGGCGCCGATGATCTTTATCGCTGTGAGCGGGGCTCGCTGAATTGCGCAGTTCTAAAGCCAAGGGGCCTACATGTGTACCGATATGGCAGCGGGATATATAATGATAAGCCAGCAACTACAAGATTATCCCGCCAAAGCAACCTAACAGCGATGTGTAGGAGCATATCTGGAAGCATGCCCCTTAAGATTCAAATGATAACCCAGTTGTAGAATGCTGCTGTTCTCGCAGTCGTAGTCGCATTCGCGATGACAGTCGCAGTGGCAAGGACAGTCGCAGTCACAGCATCAGCCTCAGCCTGCCTCAGCCTCAGCCTCAGCCTGCCTCAGCCTCAGCCTGCCTCAGCCTCAGCCTGCCTCAGCCTCAGCCTCAGCCTGCTTCAGCCTCAGCCTCAGTCTGCCTTCAGCCTCGGCCTCAGCCTCAGCCTGCCTCAGCCTCAGCCTGCATCAGCCTCAGCCTCAGCCTCAGCCTGCCTCAGCATCAGCCTGCCTCAGCCTCAGCCTCAGCCTGCCTCAGCCTCAGCCTCAGCCTGCTTCAGCCTCAGCCTCAGTCTGCCTTCAGCCTCGGCCTCAGCCTCAGCCTGCCTCAGCCTCAGCCTGCATCAGCCTCAGCCTCAGCCTCAGCCTGCCTCAGCATCAGCCTGCCTCAGCCTCAGCCTCAGCCTCAGCCTCAGCCTCAGCCTCAGCCTCAGCCTGCCTCAGCCTCAGCCTGCCTCAGCCTCAGCCTCAGCCTCAGCCTCAGCCTCAGCCTGCTTCAGCCTCAGCCTCAGTCTGCCTTCAGCCTCAGCCTCAGCCTCAGCCTCAGCCTCAGCCTCAGCCTCAGCCTCAGCCTGCCTCAGCCTCAGCCTGCATCAGCCTCAGCCTCAGCCTCAGCCTGCCTCAGCATCAGCCTGCCTCAGCCTCAGCCTCAGCCTGCCTCCTCAGCCTCAGCCTGCTTCAGCCTCAGCCTCAGTCTGCCTTCAGCCTCGGCCTCAGCCTCAGCCTGCCTCAGCCTCAGCCTGCTCAGCCTCAGCCTCAGCCTCAGCCTCAGCCTCAGCCTCAGCCTGCCTTCAGCCTCAGCCTCAGCCTGCCTCAGCCTCAGCCAGCTCTGTGCTCCTCAGCCTCAGTCTGCCTTCAGCCTCGGCCTCAGCCTCAGCCTGCTCAGCCTCAGCGCATCAGCCTCAGCCTCAGCCTCAGCCTGCCTCAGCATCAGCCTGCCTCAGCCTCAGCCTCAGCCTCAGCCTGCCTCAGCCTCAGCCTCAGCCTGCTTCAGCCTCAGCCTCAGTCTGCCTTCAGCCTCGGCCTCAGCCTCAGCCTGCCTCAGCCTCAGCCTGCATCAGCCTCAGCCTCAGCCTCAGCCTGCCTCAGCATCAGCCTGCCTCAGCCTCAGCCTCAGCCTCAGCCTGCCTCAGCCTCAGCCTCAGCCTGCTTCAGCCTCAGCCTCAGTCTGCCTCAGCCTCGCCTCAGCCTCAGCCTCAGCCTCAGCCTCAGCCTCAGCCTCAGCCTGCCTCAGCCTCAGCCTCAGCCTGCCTCAGCCTCAGCCTCAGCCTCAGCCTGCTTCAGCCTCAGTCTGCCTTCAGCCTCGGCCTCAGCCTCAGCCTGCCTCAGCCTCAGCCTGCCTCAGCCTCAGCATCAACCTGCCTCAGCATTCAAAATGTGTCCCGGGAACGGAGTTCTGGGAACTCGAAGAACACGAAGTGGCCTACAGTTGGCTCCGGGCATTAAAAATCATGCCCAGGAATGGCGTTCTCGGAACTCGAAGAACACGAAGTGGCCCACAGTTGGCTCCGGGCATTCAAAATTTGGCCCGGGAATGGAGTTCTGGGAACTCGAAGAACACGAAGTGGCCTACAGTTGGCTCCAGGCATTCAAAATGTGGCCCGGGAATGGAGTTCTGGGAACTCGAAGAGCACGAAGTGGCCTACAGTTGGCTCCGGGCATTCAGAATGCGGCCCGGGAATGGAGTTCTGGGACCTCGAAGACCACGAAGTGTGTAAATGTTTGCTTAAAATGACTTCCGCGGCTTCTCCCCGGCACCCGCCCAGACCCCCCTGGGGAGTCAAGATGCTCTCTTTTGACACTACTAGAAACCTATCAGTCTTCGCTGTTAGGTAAAAACCATGTACGAGCGAGCGGAAGCGAAGCGGAAAACGGGCGGACAAAAACGAGGGAAGTACCCCGTATCACCTTTCGTACCCACTTGGGATGGGCCCTGTAGGGCACAAGCGGTACACTCTTGTTCGCCCCCCCACTCATCGCACTCCGATTGCTCGACGCCTGGCTGTTGTTACTCAGCATGCCGCCGGCATCGCATAGGTTCGAGGGCTCGAAGGTTTGAAGTGTTCGGGCGTTGTCGTGGGTTCTCTGCTGTTGTCCAGCCTCGAAACGCTGTCTAGCAGCTGCGCATCGGGTCTAGGGCTCGGGCTGTGATGTTCTGCGAAACTGGATTGATTCGCAACGTTGGATTTGGGGGAACATGGAGGAGGCAGAAAAGAAACAGGTAGAACATCTGCATGCATTAGGATCCTGCCCTGCGCCCCAACAAGCTCCAAAGAGTCCCGAAGCCGCCACGCTCTGTGTTATCCTCTGGTCACTCTTATCCATGTTCACTGTCATCTTCGCTCACAAGTGCGATTCCCCCCTCACTGCAATCCATGAAAATGCCGATCTGGTCACATCTGGTGCGTACCGCCTCATCAGCCACCGCATCGACGGGGCACTGAGACTGCGCCGCCTGGGCCCACTCAGACTGCACGGCCTAGGTCCTGGGTCTGGTGGAGCTGCGCGGAATCCGTCCAAGTCTGCTGGGGAAGCGCGGGGACTGGTGGAAGAATCTGAGCGGGCACGAAGCCCTGTGATGCAAAGCAGAGGCCCTCGGACATGCCCGAGAAAGCACTGGGTCAAAGATCAGACGGCTTGGGATGCCCTTGCGTGGCTTCAGGTCAGGCTCGAGCGCCAGACATCGACATGTGATCAGCCCCGCCCAGCCGCCGACCAGCGGCTGGCGTCCTCGCGAAGGCCCAAAACACTGGATAGATCTTGCATGTTGTAAGTCTTTAGCCTGCGGTCGGGGACTTTCGCTTAGCGTGTCGCCTCGGTGGCCCCAGCGGCACGCATCGTGTGATAGCATTTGATAGCGTGTCGCTCCACTCCGCGGGGCGGAAGGCTCGGAAAAACTCGGAACGTTGACGCCCGGTAACCGTGAAGTGGATGGCATGGATAGCGTGTCGAGCCGAAACGTGATGGGCCAGAGCGGCGCGACGCGCTAGCCAACATTTCAGATCGGATGCGGTTCTGCTTTCCGTGCATCAGTTGACTCACCACGCCGACGCACCCCTTACCGGAGTTGGCCGCCTGTAAGCCGAAACGTGAAGCTCCTGTTCTGTGGCGTGCGCTGGTGAAAATCAGGAGCTGTTCTAATTCCGTGCGTGTAACGTTTCGCATGCTTGGCCGTGTAGGCGCGTAAACCCACTCCTTGCTGTCTGCTCCTGGTTTTTCCTCGCTCCTCCTTGGTACGCGCTCTTGTGACCCTGCCCCGGCACCACCTAATCCTCTTACGCTTTGTCCGGCACCACCCTCTAGCATCCATGGATATATGCATCTGCACATCTCGGTCCGCCTGTCTTCTCAGCCACGGTCTTTTCTCGCCCGCCCATCCCATCAGCTCCTCACTTCTGCCACCACCGCCATGCGCTGCAGGGCCGAGGCGAAGTGGAACCGGTGCTTGATGTGCGCAGATGTCACCGCAGAGCCACCGCCCTCGGAAGGAGCAGCATGGCAGAGGCAGGAGGTAGGAGCAGGTACAGATTAACCCCGTTGAGGTGAAACACAGACGGGCGCGACGGCACAGAGGAGGTTCCCCGAAGAGGCCCTGGACCCCGGGGCCGTCCCCCTGGCGAGATCTTCAATCTGACTCCTTTTCTGACAGTCCCGGCGCCCCTGGAGAGCCCCGGGGAGCCCGAAATTGGCGAAACACCTCAAGACCCGTTCCCCGTAGGACCCGTTTCCCACATGCCGCGAAAGTCCCTCCTCTGCGTGGCTCCCTCGGCCCCTCGCAGACGCGGGGGGGCGGCCGAGCCGCCCGCGCCTCCCACGCGATTCCCTTTGTGTTTGGAGCTGGCCAGCTGGCCTCCCTGCCTCCCAGGACCGCCAACGCATCGACGCGGAACCCAAACCTTCGGCAGGGCAGTGGCCCAAGGCGAACCAGCTCCAATGCCAGTCCCCCGTCCCCTTCCCGTGGCCTCCTCCTCCTCCTCCTCCTCCTCTTCTTCCTCCTCTTCCTCCTCCTCGTCTGGCTCCCTCTTTTTCTCTTCCCTCCTACAACATTCCCCACCGCGTCCTCCATCTCCCTCCTCCTCCTTCTCCTCTTCCTCCTGCTCCTCCTCCACCTCTTCATATCCCTCCTCCTCCTCATCTTCCTCCTCCTGCTCTTCCTCATCCTCCTCAATGTTGTTTGTCCTTTTCCTCCTTGTCCTTTTGTAGGGGCGACCAGGGGGTCCAGACTGATTGGGCCCAAGATTTCAAAACCGAATGTCCAAAACACATATAAAAGCACATGGCTTCGTAGTATTTGTTCAAAAAATGCGCGGTCTTGCGAATTCTTGCGAAACCCATAAGTTTTCCAATATTTTCTGGACACACTACCGAACGGGCTTCGCGCGCGCATGTCGAAATCGTTCGAACGCCCTTGCGCGCGTGCCGTCGCGCGAATCCTGTGCAAAAAACGATACGAAGTGCACGCGCGCGCGTGGTCGCGCGCGCATGCCGAAATCCGTCGAAAGCCTTCGGTGTCGGACATATGTTCTAATCGGGTGTCCAACAGCGTCTGCTGCTTAAACGAAAAACATGGTTTCGCAACACGGATTTTCAACATAAGCGTGCGCGCGCGCTCTTGCGAAGTCTTAAGACAGCCATTCGTGTTTGTGAACCTTGCGCGCTCTTGCGAAGTCTTGCGACTACGACTACTACTACGACTACTACTACTACTACTACTACAACTACTACTACTACTACCACTACTACTACTACTACTACTACTACTACTACTACTACTACTCCTACTACTACTACTACTACGACTACGACTACGACTACGACTACTACTACTACTACTACTACTGCTGCTACTACTACGACTACGACTACGAGTACTACTACTACTACTACTACTACTCCTACTACTAATACTACTACTACTACTACTACTACTACTACTACTACTACTACTACTACTTCTGCTACTACTACTACTACTACTACGACGACTACTACTACTCCTACTACTACTCCTACTACTATTAGTACTACAACTACTACTACTACTACTACTACTACTACTACTACTACGACGACTACTACTACTACTACTACTACTATTACTACTACTACTACTACGACGACTACTACTACTACTACTACTACTACCACGACTACCACTACTACGACCACTACTACTACTACGACGGGCGGCACGGGCGGCGACGGCGACGGGCGGCACGGGCGGGAACCACCCCGAGATGGTTAACGCAAGTAACAACCCCTAAGTGCAAGCACTGTTTGGGGAACTTCTCGGAAGGCGCGAGGGCTTCTGAGAAGTCCCGTCGCCTTCTGAGAAGGCTTTCTTCTTCTTACTCCCCCCCCTCGCTCGCCGACTGGCCTGGAACCACTCGCTTTATTCGTGCGTCGAAGCTGCGTCGAACGTCCGTCGACTCGAGTCGACATTGGGTCGAACCGGAATCCAGCCTGACCCGAACTTGCATCGAGCTTGGGTCGAACTGGGGTCGAATCTAGAGTCGAACGCGTCCCTGAGGCGTGCCCCAGGAAGGTCCCCGAACGAGTACTCCAGATTTCGCAATAAAAGGGAGGGGGTCTGGACCCTCCAAGACAAGCCATTTCAGACCTCCCCCGTGGGAGAACCCTCCAAGACATCGTCCCCAGACCCCCCAGGCCCTCCAAGACGGCCTGGAAGAGACCCCCCCCCCCCCGAAATGAGACCCCCCTCCCTTTACTACGAAATCGGGAGCATCTTCGAGGGGTGCTCGGGAGGCCGTGCGGGGCCTCTCCTGGATGGGGCACCCTGGGCGGGGGCTTCCCTCCTCCGGCGCAGCAACCCACACATCCCTCGGCGCGCGGCCCCCCAGCCGACGGCCGGGGGGGAGCCCCCCCGGCCCACGGTGCGGAGCCCGCTGCTCGGGTCGGGCGAAAGGGGGGGGATAGCAAAGGGGGGGTTTGAGAATCAGCTCACGTAGCTGATTTTCCCGGCGCCTCCCGGCGCCGGAGGCGGCTGTGTATCGAGGAATGGGCCCCTCGGTGAGGGCGAAACTAGCTGCATGCAGCAAATTTCGTAACCCCCCCTTTCCCAATCCCCCCCTTTCGCCCGGCCCGAGCTGCGCGGGGGGGGGAATCGCGATAAGAGGACCCCCAATCCTTTGCGATGGGGCCTGCAGTGGGAGGGCCAGACACGTTCGGGATACTTACGGAGTCATTCCGCAGATGTGTCGAGCCAGGTCGCCGAGATGCGACAGCTCTAAGGCGAAGACGGGGCCCCACGTGTGCGACACCTCCCTGGGAGGTGCACTGTTTTTGCCTTTAGCACGAAGGAGCCCTGTGGCACGCCAGACGACAGACGAACGACGGACAACAGCCGAGAAACGACAGACGACAGGCAAGCGACAAATGACGAACGACGGACGATGGACAAACGACTCGCGCTGGCCGTGCACCTCCCCCAGAGGTGCACGGCCAGCGCGGGTGCAAAACTGCGCGCAGCGCGCCCCGTGAGCAGGGAGAGATGCGACGGGTCTTGCACAGAATATTCGAGGGCGACGGTGGGGGCGACTAGCCCAGGGGAGAGCGATACGTGTATCCAAGGGCGCCGATGCTTCATGCCTTCGGCGGGGCTCCCGGGCGAATGCGTGTTGCCCGCCCTTGGGCTCTTGCCCCTATCGTCGCCTCCGAGGGATGGCATGGCAACCTTGCGCGGTGGCTTGCGCGGACACGCAGCATCAGAGGCGAGGGCGCACACGCGCGACCTTACGCGAGCAGCTTGCGCGCCAACGTCGGCGCAGACGACCCCGTTTTCTGCGTGGCTCATGTGTGCGTGTGGAGCCCTATGCGTGTGGAGCCCTGCGTTTGTGAAGACAGAGGCTGTCTGAGTGTGTGGCGGTGGTGGTGGTGGGAAGGCCGTATGTGTGTGGAGCCCTCCGCGTGAACCCTGGAACCGTGCGCGTGTGGAACTACGAGTTTCCTCAGACATGTGTGATGGCTGGGGCCCTCTTGTTGTCAGAACTGGTTCCCGTCGAGGGACGGGCGCGCAGAGACATCCTCGAAATTCTGAGGTGCTCCAGCCGTTTCGCCTGAGACGTCCTTAGCACCCCTGTCCCTGCGATGGCCAAGATTGAGCTGGTCTGGCGCGTTTCGCCGGAGGTGGTCTGGCGCGTTTCGCCTGAGACGTCACTGCAACTCCTGCTTCCGCGAAGGCCGGGGTTAATATGTTCCAGCGCGTTTCGCTTGAGGCGTCCTCACAACTCTGGGCTCAGGGATGCCGCGCGCGAGGTGGATCGGCCAGTTTTGCCTAAGACATCCTCCCAACTCTGGTTTCAGAGATGCCGTTCGCGAGGTGGTCTGGCGATTTGCGCCTGAGGTGGTCCTTGCAACTGCGCTTCCAGATGTCGTTCGCGAGGCTGTGCAGTCAAATTCGCCTGAGACATCCTGGCAATTCTGAGCTCAGAGATGATCTGACATGAGGCTGTGGTTCTTTTCGACTGAGACATCCTCGCAACTCTGGGCTCACAGATGCCGTGGCCTGAGGTGTTCGAGCCACTTTCGCCGAAGACATACTCCCAATCCTAGGCTCCCCGATCCCCTGATCTGAGGTGGTCCAGCCAATCTCGTCTGAGACATCCTCTCGACTCTGGGCTCAGAAATGCAATGACCTGAGGTAGTACAGCCCGTTCCGCTTGAGACATCTTTGGAGCTCTGGAGTCCGAGATACAGCGTGAGACGTGGTACGGCCCATTTCGCCTGGGACATCCTCACAGCTCTGAGCTCCAAGATTCCGCGCACGAGGTGGTCTGGCCAATTTCGCCTGAGACCCTCTTTCAATTTTGGGAGCAGAATCTGAGGTGGTCCAGCCCGTTTCGTCTGAGACATCCTCGCAACTCTGAGCTCGGAGATGCCATGACCGTGTGTGGTCCAGCCATCTGGCTATCTCCATCTTGCAAATGCTCGTCAGCAGGCAAGGAGAACACGTGTTTTGCATGTGATTTTGTGCTGGGGCTCAGCAGGTATAGATCGGTTTGAAACAGCCAATTAGACTGCTTGCTAGCAAGCAAAAGATCTCAATAGATGCGGTCGGTAAGCACATTGCCGTCTGCGTCGTATGTCATATGGTGTGCTGCTCCCGAACCCCAAGTACACGGGTCTCCAGGCAATCTTGAAAAACAGCCCGGAAAATCGCTCAGCGACTTCTCGCCCATGGATACTTGGTAGCAGGCTATCCAATACTGTTTCGACTTGTAGGGGTGAAAGGCAACAGCGGTTTGGGACTCACACGGAGTGACGTCGGAGAGGCTGTCGATGTGGTCCTTAGTGTACTTGTCATTCAACAGGTCATAGTCCGACATGAAGCCGACACCACTGGCGTCCAAGCACGACTTCGTCCAGAAATCCTCGCCTCCATCATTGCCCAAATTATCCCGACAAGCGTCCTTGTTTTCTAAGAACGCGTCGACCGCCTCCTTCGACAAGACCTCCAATGC